GCCGTGGAAGTTGGTTCTGACTCATAGCAACCCTGCATAGGGTTTCCGAGGCTATAAATCTTTACAGGCTCAGAAATCCTCATCTTTCTCTGCTAGAACAACTGGTAGTTCCGAACTGCTCACTTTGATGTTAGTAGACCGACTTGTAACCACTACACTACCAGAGCTCCTTTAATGAGCCTTAGGTTTAGGAGTAATGTCTAAAAAAAATGTGTATTTGACTTATAAGTCACAAATTATATTTTATTTTTTACTTCCCACAATTCATTAGAATTAAAAGGCAAAAAATTGAGTTTAATTGAATCATGAACAAAAAGAACTTTGAACAAAGGACAAATAATTTTAAGGAAACTTAATTTAATGTCTCTTTGTTTCAATAAATATTCATTTTAGCCTTATTAAATTTACTCAGAGTTAATGTAAGCCATTTCTGACTACAGGTACTATCACAAGAATTGACAATTGCCTGGAAATAGGGCAATACATTTCAATTAATTTCTTTGGGAATGGTTTAGAGTGGGTAACAAGGGATATTTACTAATGGAACTGCTGAAAATAGTTTTCCATTGAACTATTTCTCAACAACAACCAAGAGCTTAATGAACATTGTATTTTCATAACTTTTATTTAAAGAAGACTTGATATTGGGAAGGTTGTATAGAAGAGTTCTACTAGGCCTCTGGAAAGGATACAGAATCACTCTGTCACATGACTTTCATGGTTTTATTTAGCATGCTTCAGAAAACTGAAATTGGCAAATGATTTAGACCAGCTCAACAAATGGAAAGTCAGAGAAACTAGACAAAAAGATATAAAGGTTAGCAATCGGACTTTCAGATCTGAGCAATCATAAGGATAAGTTGGGTCTTTCAGGGGAATACATAAAGAATATATATTTTATTTAAGATCCTAGGTCTGGGACTTACAATAGTTTCAACTAAATAACCCTTCCCAGTATCTACCTTGGAAAATTTTTTTGATGGTAGGAGGGAAGATGGAAGGGAAAAGTGGCTCTCCACTTCTTTCTTTTTACTTTTTACTCCAGAAATCCAAAGGCTTATGAAAAGGAACTAATTTTCATTTAATAATGTTTCATAAACTGAGACAGGGCTAGCAATTGGTGAGAACCTTATTTAGTCCTGGTGTGGCGCTGTGGGCTAATGCACTGGACTGCATATTCGGTCTAAACCACAAGATTCACAGTTCAAGCTTACCAGCTGCTCCTCAGAAACCCTACACAGGGTTGCTCTGGGTTGGAAGTGACTCAATGGCACATCATAACAACAACAACAACAAGAGTAGCAATGTCAAAGGATACCCTTAACCTGAAAGGTTGGATATAATTGCCCAAAAGAGCCCTCATTCCCAACTTTGGAAAGACACCAAGTACTGTGTGTACTTCCTCCCACGTATGCCAAGCCTGTAGGTCAAATATTTCCAAATGTTCTATTAATTCCTTCTGTTTACATTTCTAACTATAATTTCTTTTTTATTCTTTGACCATTCAAAATTATAAACTTTTCCTTAGGGCATCAAGCCTGTAATCAAGTTGATTATCTCTCAACATCCTAAAACACCAACCCCTAACTTTGTAATGTAGTAATAGGGACTTAAATGGTTTTGCTAAAATTGTTTGAGGAAAGTAAGTAATAAATGCTTCCCTTTTTAACTCCAAGCCACTGGCAATATTTGAGCCTTTTCTATGACACTGATATTGTTTTACACTGCTTTTTTTCTTATTTTATAAACTAGATAATAAACTCTCTTCTTGGAAGAGTCCATACCTTATTCGCTTTTGTATCCTTCTTCATCTAGCACAAAGCCTTGCTCATAGTGAGAATTCAAACATCTTATAAATGATGTTGTTGTTAAGTGCTGTCAAGTCGATTCTGACCCATAGCGACCCTGTATAGGATTTCCAAGGAGCAGCTGGTGAGCTTGAACCATTGACCTTGCAGTTCACACAATGTTGCCGTCTGACGCATTAGCCCACAGCACCACACCAGGACTCCTAAAAAGCCTACAGCCCCTAGTATTCCCATCCAAGTACTAACCAGGCCCGACCCTGCTTAGCTTCTGGGATCAAACAAGATCGGACACATGTGGTAATATATATACCAAATGCTTCAAGATTGTCAATTCCAAAGCACAAACTCTCCAAGCACTCATCTTCTTCTAAGTATTCATCTCAGTTACTCTTGACAACTCTTGAAAAGGCATACAGAATCTAGATCCCTGTGCCTTTCCTGTTTCATCTCATTCTTTCTCCAGTTTATCTTTCTAATAGTTTCACCAACCTATCACTATATACTCTTATGTCTAATTCCTCTGTGGGCCTAACTTCTCTCTATGAGCACCACCTGACCCAGCAACCTAAATAACTTATACTTCTTTGGGTGGGCAGAGAGGTAAATTGGGGTTTTATCTAGTAGCATTCATCTATATATCCTTCTCACTACCTAGTCTTCTTTAGATAAAAGTCATTAAAATACAATTCTAAAAGATTGATGAGAACTCTTGAAACAGAACCAGCACATTTTGTTCATAACTGAGTTAGCTATATTTCTTCAGTAAATGTTTATTAAGCCTGCTATGTTTATTAAGCCTCCTAGTTTGGCACTGTAGGATAAGCAGTGGACTGTGAACCACAAGGTTCATGGTTTAAACCCATCAGCTGCTCCTTGGAAACCTTGTACAGGATAGCTATGACTTAGAATCAGCTCAACAGCAATTAACAACAACATGTCTGTTAATGACCTTCCATTACCTGCAAAATAATATTCAGACTTTCTGGCATTAGTTGGCTCTTCCCTACTTTTCCAGTTTCCTTCTTGTTTCTCCCCAACTCCCACTTAGGATCTAGTCAAGCCAAAGTAGTTGTGCCTTTTGCATATGTGGTTCCTCTGCCTAGAACATATCCTCTCTTATCTACCTACGTTGTTCCCACTCTCTCTCCATGATCTAGAATAGGTGCCATCTCTTCTATTAATCTAGGAGCCCAGGTCACATAGTGAATTATGAACTGGGCTGCTAACCACAAAATCAGTAGTTCAAATGTGCCAGTCAGTCCATGGGAGAAAGATGAGGCTTTCTGCTCCCATAAAGAGTTACAGACTTGGAAACCCTATACAGGGTTGCTATGAGTAGGAACCAACTCCCTGGTACACCACCACCACGGCCTTCCATTAATCCTCTCCATCCCCTTCACACCTGGCAGGAATAAGAATGAACTCCTCTTTGCTTGATCACCTTCACAGTCTCCATTGCAGTTTTTAGCACATTGTTTTCTGATTCCATCATCTTCTTTTCCATTAGGCTATGAGACCCTAGAAGGTTGTTGTTGTATCTTGTTGATATTTTGTTCCTAAACGTAATTCACTCCTGTCACATAGTAGGCATACAACGCAATTGAATAAATGAACAGCATTTCACCTCCTTGTTATTTTTCAGAACTACCCCACTACTCAGAGAAAACGTAATTGTATTATAGAGGCTAATAGAAAGGCTTGTATTTCTCTTTTTTTAAAACACCATACTATAATATTATTTCCAGTGTTATTAGTTTTTACTGTGTTGCTTATAATGAACCTTAGACACTCAGCTCCTAATATTCCATATTGCTAAATTAATTATCCATGTATTCTTATTTATCTCTATCTCCAACTCATATAGCATCAGTGTTTTTGCAAGGTAGGAAAGGACAAGTTTTGCCATCCTGTGATAACTACCTAACCATGCAAATAATTTTGGCTGAGCACCTAGAAAAGAGTCCCATCCATGCCTTCTTACAGAGGAAGAACCAAACAACCTCAGTGTAAGGGAAAAAAATCAAAGCCCTACTTTTCTGACACCAAATATATGTTGAAAAACCCAAATAAACCTATTATCAACCTGTTGCCCTCTGTTCTACTTGTACTTTAACAGATGTTAAAACATATGCAGCACTTCTTCCTTGGATCCTAACTACCTGGAGCTAGGCTAGATCTCATAAGTTAAAAGGCACAGACCTTCAGACTGTCATGTCCTACCAAGACCTCAGATGCAAACCACGGATGTCTCACCCTCACTTCTGAATCGCTGGCTATAAATTTGTTTTTTTACCACTACCTTTCCAGATGCCAGCCAGGAACTGAGGCCCTGCTGGCTACAAACTTTGGAGTTCTCTCGCCCCCTTCAGGCTACCAGTCATGAACTCAGAGGTTACCAGGCCTTCTCACTTCTGACATGTTGGCCCCCACTACTCCTTTAGGTCTGCTGATTTCTTCTGTGAGGAAAAACTCACAGAACTCATGGACAGTACTATACTTATGATTACAGTTTTATTATAACAAAAAGGATACAAACGAAGAAATGCATAGTACAAAGTCTGAGTTCCAACATGGAGCTTCATGTCACAAAAGGGATGCACTACCCTCCCATGTGCATTGATGTCTTTCACCAATCAGGAAGCCCTGGAACATGTATGTCTAGAATCTTTATGGGGTTTACTATAATTCCAAGATCGACTGAATCAGTCCACTGCCCCTAAGGTTAGCTTATATTACAGTTGGCCTTTCTGACCTAGCCAGTCTCCACCTGAATCACTTCATTAGCACAAAACAGTAGTCTGAAAACCTGTAGATAAGTTACTTTGGTGGTGTTGGTGTGCCATGGAGTCAGTTCTGACTCATAGAGCCCCTGCATAGAATTTCCAAGGCTGTAAATCTTTACAGGATCAGAAAGCCTCATCTTTCTTCCGCAGCACCACTTCAGTAGTTTTGAACTGGTGACCCTGAGGTTAGCAGCCTGAATCATAACCACTATGCTACCAGAGCTCCTTACATAAATTACTTTAGGTATGCTTAATGTAAACCTCACATCTAGTAATCAGTAATATGTGCTAGATATTTCCCTTAGCTAAATACAATTTTAGGTGTTGAATTTCTTATAAAAGGTAAAATTAAAAAAAAACTAAACAACTAAGTCAATAAGTACTAACATCCATTTTCTTCTGGGAACAGATTGCAGTTCACAGAAAGGAAGTTGAAGAACTGGAAAATGCCATTCATAAACTGGAAGAAGAAAATTTGGTACTTTTGGATCAATTATTCAACTGTAGACTTGTGGATCTCAACATATCCAGGTGAAAGTCATAAACATATCTAGAAAGTATTCTGTAAACATTTGTATCTGTGAAAGTTTACCCAAAAAAAATTTGTTTTGTTTTGTCTTAATTTTAATTCTTCAATGCTCCAGCTACAGTACAATAGTTAATAAGAAACTCACAAAAATTATAGTGTAAGCTTTGATGTGTTTTTTCAAGCAATCCACTATAGTGATAAGAGGAAATACTTAACAGAAGTATTACAACTGCTAACTTTCAGAAACCTACAGGACAACAGGGGACATAGACAAAAAATCCTTACGATGCAGTAGAAGGCATGTGTGGTGCAGAGTTAGCATAACCATCCAGATGTTTTGCAAAGTGTTCTGGGCTTCTAGTTACCTTGTGAATTCCAGAATTGTTATTTTGCTTTGATGATTAATGTAGAAGTCAAACTGCTTTCCAGAAGAGAAAATTCAGAGTCTAGAAATTAAATCAGATATTAAGTTGAATAAAGTGGAAGAGCCAGGAAATTTTTCTTACCCAAGTAGCTCCTGTTGCTTGTGTGGTGTGGGAAAACACTGAAATGCAAAAAAGAATTTATTTACAAACTCCCTAAAGTGTGCCAAAGAGGATGGATACTGGTAACTTATGGACTGTTTGCTAGGTTAGGTGATGAGTGTCAGTCAGGAGAAGACTGGAGACTTGGAGATAATACAATTACATTATAAAGTAAAGGCTGGGTAGAGCAGTATAGGAGTCCTGGTGTGGTGCTCTGGGTTAATGCGCTGGACTGCAAGGTTGGTTTGAATTGCAAGGTCAGTGGTTCAAGCTCACTAGTTGCTCCTCAGAAACCTTACACAGGGTCGCTATGAGTCCGAACCAACTTGACAGCACTTAATAGCAACACCAACACCAACAGGGCAATAGAGAGAAAGAGGACCCCTGCCTCCCTGCCTCAATCATATGCTTAGATAAAGTAGCAGGTCAGGCTGATTTTTTTTTTAATCACTGAGCTCTTATATTCCAAGTCTCTGACAGCCCCTGGGGTGGGTGTTTCATTAGCCTTCCAGCAGGAAATATTCTCTGTTGCCAATAATCCTCTTTATGACCAGATCTCCAGCTCCACACGCCTGTCCCTTTCTAATCCTTGCCATCTGCTGCTGCTGTCTTCTTTGTGGTTCTGTCTAATCTTTACTAGCCATTGCTGGCTCTGTGGTTTCCAACCACTGCTAACCTGCTGTCTACTTTCCTCTTTTCTGTACTGGCCAAGTTGTAGGAAAGAACTACCTTCCAAACTGCCAGCCCCACTTCTCTGCTTCAGTCAGCATAGTCTGGCAAATTTGATTTGGAGACAACATGGATGTGAATAATAATTAAAATAAAAGGGAATTCTATCATTGGCCAGAGAGAACTTGACAAGGATGGGAAGAGAAAGGAGAAACATTTTCATCGTTTGCTATGTAGTGTGCAATTTAACTTCACTCTCAGTTTTCCCCACAGAATCTTCAGTGAAATTCATCATTGTTCATCAGGGTTTTAAGAGTTGGTTTTCTCTAGTGGGAGTCAATGGAATGCTTAGCATTGCTTCTGAGTTAAGAGTGATAAAATCAAAATCTACCCAAGGGGAAAACAAAAAAACAGCATGGGCTATGTTTAAAACAACTGGGTTAGGTGCCCTTGGTCTATGTCTCCATGGCACTCTGAAGTTTCCCTTTGTAACCACCATTCATCACACTTGAAGATAAGTTGTTCAATGTCCGCTGTTTGGCTAGACTGTAAACTCTTGATGCAAATGTTTGGGACATTTTAGAAAGATCTGCATAAAGAAACAGGAACATATGTAAACCCTCAATTATTCTTCTTGTCCAGAAGGATAATCTGATTATTCCAGAGCTTTTATACTATGAAGTTAAAGAAATATGATCTGTATTATATATTTTATGGCAATGGCCGTTTCTACCTCTTTGTTGATAATTCAGTCGTTTATAGTACCTAGTTGGGTGATGAAAGGAGTCCTGGTGTGGCACTGTAGGATAAGCACTGGACTGCTAACCACAAGGTCAGCAGTTCAAGCCCACCAGATGTTACTCAGAAACCCTGTTCAGGGTCACTATGAGTAGGAACCAATTCAACAGCACTTAACAACAGAAACAACAACAGAGTGACAAGAAATAGAAGTGAACTGTCTCCAGTGAATATGGAAAAAAGGACAGATTTTCAGCATAGTGTAAGAAGTGTGTAAGACAGAGACAAACAGCACCTGATTCAGGCTTAGGAGGCAAGGAAGGTTTTCTGGAGGCAACCTCAAGGGTAGAAACGATGTCTCACTTTCCACCTCGAAGTTTCCAGCATTTAGCAGACACTAATAAGTATATAGGACAGTATTTGGTAATTGACAAATTACTTTTCTTATTTGTCCTTTTAGGAAGCTGTTTCTTACTCAAGCTGCTGGACAGCAAATACCACCTGAAGAAACTGCTTGGGAGTTTCCAGATATACTTAATGGTATTATTTTGTTGTTCATCATCATTATTCTTGTCCAGAAGAATAATCTCAGATTATTCCAGAGCTTTTATACTATGAAGTTAAAGAAATAAGATCTGTATTATATATTTTATGGCAATGGCCTTTTCTACCTCTTTGTTGAGAATTCAGTCGTTCTGGACAAGAATAAGATGATGAACCTTTTTTTTTTTTTTTTTTTCAATTAAACAAACACGGATTGAGAAACCACAATATGCAGGTACCTCAAGTCCAAGAGCTACCCATGCCAGATCCTTCACATTCCTCTTCTTGCAGAGTCGGTCATAACCTATCTTCCTCCTCTCTGTAGTCCCATTTTAACAGTCCTACTTCAAAGTCAAATCAAAGTTCCACAGTGAATTCAATAGATAATGGCTGGGGCGTTGTCCACACTGGCATGATTTGGGTGCAATTTAGCCAACCAAAATTCTGACACACATATACATTTCCATATGAATACTGAAACTTAGCTAACAGAAGGAAATACAACTTAGTTTCTAAAAGTGGGAGTCACTTACATTTTAATGAATTCTACATTTTTAATTCTCAAATGTCTTTCAAATTCAAATGTGACAAAGTATGTTCAAAATATACACATAATTTCTTTGTGTTAATTCCAGAAGCAAAGTTAAAGTTACAACAGGAACAATTAAAAAGCAAAGACATGATAAGTTCACCCAGTGAGGGCAGTGCTTCACCTGTTAGTCATGAGGAAAGCATCAGAGAGATCCATTTGAATATAGATGAAGAAGATGACTCATACACAGAGTTTGGAGCCTCTGAAATGAAATACTTACTATATGAAGATGAGCATGATTTCAAGGTAAGTTACATTTGAGCACAACTTTGACTTCTAATAGAATTGTTGCTGCCTTCGCTTTGGCTCTGACTCATAGTGACCCTATGTACAACAGCACAAAACACTGCCTAGTCTTGTGCCATGCTCACAATTCTTATGTTTGAGCCCATTGTTACTGCCCCTGTGTCCGTCTGTCTCATCTTCCTCCCCTTTTTGGTTGACCCTCCACTTTTCCAAGAATGATGTCCTGCTTCAGGAATTGTCCCTCCTAAGAATAGTACCAAGTACGAGAGATGAAGTCTCGCTATCCTGACTTCTATGAAATACTCTGGCTGTTCTTCAAGACAGATGTGTTTGCTCTTTTGGCAGTCTATGGTACTTTCAATATTCTTTTCCAACATCATAATTCACATGTATCAATTCTTCTGCAGTCTTCCTTATTCATTGCTGAACTGTCACATGCATATGAGGTGATTGAAAATACCATGGTTTGGGTCAAGCTCACCTTAGTTCCCAAATTGACAACTTTGCTCTTCAACACTTTGATTGTCTAATGCAATACTTCCTTTGATTTCTTGACTGCTGCTTCCATGAGTATTGTTGTGGATGCATGCAAAATGAAGTATTTGACCATTTTTATCTTTTCTCCATTTATCATGATGCTATTTATTGATCCTACTATGAGGGGTTTTTTTTCTTTACATTGAGGTGCAATCCATACTGAATGCTATAGTCTTTGATCTTCATAAGTATTTCAAGTCCTCTTCTTTCTAGCAAGCAAAGTTGTACCATATCACAGGTTGTTAATGAGTCTCCCTCCAGTCCTGATGACATGTTCCTTTTCATATAATCCAGCTTCTCAGATTATTTGTTCAGTTTACAGATTAAATAATTATGGTGAAAGAATACAACCCTGGTGCACACCTATCCTGATTTTAAACCATTCTATATACTCTCGTTTTGTGCTAACAACTGCCTCTTGTTCAATGTACAGGTTCCTCGTAAGTACAATTAAGCATTCTGGAATACCCATTCTCCACCATGTCATCCATAGTTTGTTATGATACACACAGTTGAATGCCTTTGTGTAGTCAATAACACACAGTAAACTTCTTCCTGGTACTCTCAGCCTTTAGCCCAAATCCATCTGATATCAACAATGTTATCTCTTCTGTCAAGTCTTCTTATGAATCTGGCTTGAATTTCTGGCAGCCTTGTCTATATACTGCTGCAACCATTTTTTGTTATCTTCGGCAAAATTTTACTTTCATGTAATCTTAATGGTATCGTTTGATGGTTTTCACATTCCACTGGGTCACATTTCATTTTTTTTTAATGTTTTATTGTGAATTATGTGATAGTTTACATGGGAGAACATTAGCTTTACATTCATCCTATCATATATCGTTTCATTGCCATGCATCATCAACCAATCAAGTCTGCCCCCTGGTCATCAGCACATAGCCCTTCTCCCTCTCTGGGTCCAGAGTCCCCAGCCGCTCCATTTCTCCATGTCATTGTCTCTGCCTCCATCCCTAGCGTCACTGCTTCTCTGGGTAGGGTTTCAAACTCTGCTTTTCTTCCTTGATGATCCCAGGGACCTCTGCTCCTGGACTGCAAAGTCAATCACTCCCCTCCTTTTGCTACAAAATGTCTGCCTTTACATTTCCAACCCTCACAGTCAATCCTGATAGCTATTATTCAATATTGTACCACAAGAGACCTATCCCCATCTTTTTTCATCAGCCCTGCCCAGACAAATTGGATACTACTCAGTGGAGATTCTACCTTCCTCCACACCTTCTGAATCTAGGTTCCTGAAATCTTGTAAGCCAGTCACTTCTTGCTTGTAGGCCCTACATTTTGGGTAGCCAATGTCCATGTTGCCCATCTCTATCTACTCTGTGTATGGGGGGTGGTGGTGGGAATGATCCTTGCTGTAAAGATTTGTTCCCTCTTTTGAACTACTGCATCCATAGATGTAGGTCAAGTTCATCAAATTGTATCAGATTACTCTTTTTTCCTCTTCTTTCTTCTTCTTGTTGAGCTCTGATCATCCAGTCATTGAAGCCAAGTCAAGTGGGTATTATCTGCAAGTGTGGGTGTTCTTGTGCATATACCCTCTCTTCTTATCAGATGGATGCTTCATTCTCCACTCTAGTCCTCTGTGGCTATGTCACTGACTCTAGACCCAAGAGTCCCCAAGTCTTGCCACACTGCTGACCAACCAGGTCTCTACCTGGGTTCAAAGGAGACTATTGAATGTTGTAGGGCTTAGCTCACAGCTTCATTGCTGTTTTTCCCTCACTTCCCCTTATCAGTGACCAACATGGTCACCAATCCGAGTGCATGTCTACTTGTGAATTACCACTGAGTCTTAGTCTTGGCAGGGGATTTGCCCTGAGGGGACCCAACCACTTGCCTTGATGTCTCCTGGGCAAGCAACTTGCTTGCTTTTGTAGTAATCAGTCGGACTGCCATTATTGTTTTGTATTTTTCCAGTTGGTCTTTCTTTCAAGAAATATCTTCTGTTCTTCTAGCCACTCCAGGCTGGTCTGCTTGTCCTTTCAAGTGTAAATTTCCCACCTCAGAAGATTCTGGATGGGGTTCAGGATTCTCCCTCATGTAATGCAGATGCTCCGCAGGAAGCCTCCTTCACTGGACATGTCGTATCCCCATTTTAGGTATTCCAATCAGTTATAGGCAGATGATGAATTTACAAGCTGTCTATGGTGATATTTCTGGCTATTCCTTTCTCTCCCCCTCAAGTGTCTATTTTATAGTGGTATGTAAGGGAAACCAAGATTCAAAAGACAGCCAAGCATCTTAACATTATTTTCCCCCTTTTGCCCATTCCAACCATGTCTCAATCCCTGCATCCCAGGGCCTTGTTGTTCCAAGGTTGTGCATACATCATTCTTTACCTCTGTCCCACTTAGCCCATACAAACCTAATTGTTTTCCCATCCACTTTGTTCTTCCATTTTCCTCCCCCTTCTTGTATATTGCCCCACTCCCCATCACCTAAACTATCCTGTGTCTATTCCCTACTCTGTGCTCCACCTTCCCCTCACCACACCCCCGCATCTTGGTAACCAGCAAAGAATCCCCCCCACCCCACTTTAGTATGGATTCTTTTTCTTAGTCCTTTATAATAATGGTCCTATGCAGTATTTCTCCTTTTCACATTTCTTTTGAATGGGCATAAATATGGATTTTATTCCAATCAGTTGTACAAGCAACTGTCTTCCAAATTTCTTGGCATAGATGAGTAAGGGCCTCCAGCATTGCATCAGTTTGTTGAAAATTTTCAATTGGAATTTCCGGAGCCTTTTTTTTTCTTTTGGTCAAAGCTCTCAGGGAAGTTTGGACTGCTTCCTTTAGTGCCTTCAGTTCTTGATTAGATGCTGCCTCTTGAAATGCTTGAACAACGGCCATTTCTTTTGGTGCAGTGACTCTGAGAATTCCTTCCATCTTCTTTTGATGCTTCCTGTGCCATTCAATATTTTGCCCACGTTGTTATTGTTGTTAAGTGTCGTTGAGTCAGTTCTGACTCATGGCGACCCCGTATAGGGTTTCCAAGGAGCAACTGGTGAGTTTGAACCACCAACCTTGCCATTCAAACTGACCTTTCGGTCCAATGTTTATCATAAAGTGCCACACCAGGACTCCATAACTTCCTTCAATATTGCAAGTGAAGGCTTGATTTTTTTTTCTATAGTTCTTTTAGTTTGAGAAATGCTGAGTGTGTTCTTCCATATTATCTTCCTACCTTCAGGACTTTGCATATTTCATTACAATACTTGACTTTCTCTTCTCAAGCTGCCCTTTGAAATTTTCTGGTCAGCTATTTTATTTCATTATTTGCTCTAGTCGCTTTAGCTTTTTTACTTTCAAGAGCAAGTCTCAGGGTTTCTTCTGACATCCATTTTGTTTTGTTTGTTTTTTCTTTCCTATCTTTTTAATGATCTTTTGCTTTCTTCATTTATGATATTCTTGATGTTATCCCTAATTCTTCTGATCTCCAGTCATTAATGTCTAATTCATCGAATCTATTATTGAGACGGTCTCTAAATTTAGGTAGGATATACTCAAGGCCATATTTTGGTTCTCATGGATTTGTTTTAATTTTCTTCAATTGATGGCCTGTTCTACAGTCAGCCCCTGGCTTTGTTTGGTTGACAGTAGTGAGCATTACCATCATCTCTTTCCACAAATGTAGCCAATTTGATTCCTGTGTATTCTATGTATGATGGCTATGTATATAGTTTTCTTTTCTGTTATCTAAAAAAAAGTATTTTCAATGAAAAAGTCATTGGTCTTGGAAAAAAAGTAAGAGTCCTCTTCTATTAATTAATAGAGAAAATGAAACTATGATTTAAAATACAAATATTGAAAAGTTCTATTTGCAATTATCAGCAAAATTAGAGAAACATTTATATACTTTCATAAAATTTGTATTCCTACCCAGGCCACACTTGTTCCATATAATCATTTATAAACCCCATAGTATTCCATCTGGTGAGGCCCACAGGTATAGTTACCATTTATGATGCTGACAAAAATATTTGCACTGAACAAATCCTTAAAACAAACAGACAACCTCACTGCCATGGAGTCAACTCCAACACAGGCAGTCTTCCTCATTGAAAGACTTCGTAGATAGGGAGACAGTGTATATTTCTTCCATGGAATGCCTTGTGGTTTTGAGCTGCCAGTCTTTCAGGTAACAGCCTACAGAGCCCAACATCTAGCTCCCAGAGCCATCAAACTCATTCACTAAGTCCTCAGTCTTGCAAAATTCTAGCACTCAATCTACAGTGTCATTTCATTCACCCAGGTCATAGTTTCCAACTTTCTCATTCCACAATTATCAGCAATTATCAGTGCATATTGATAGCATGTTTGATCAATTTCAGACTGCAGAAGTTAGTAGAAGTCTTCAATTTCCTCATGCTTAGTATTAGCACATAAATTTGAGTAATAGCTGTATAAACTGGTCTTCCTAATATGTGTATAGATATTTTCTTATTAGTGACAGCATTGTACTTCAGGAGAGATCTTGAAAAGTTGTTGCTGTTTTTTTTTTAACGATGGATGGATTAAATGCACAGAATCCAAATCAATTACATCTGTGGAAAGAGACTAAGGAGAAGTTCAATGTCATCAACAAATCATAACAAGGCCAGGAGCCAACTGCAAAATAGACCATCAATTCTTCATTTGGAAGTTATGGTTGAAGCCAAAAAAAAGTTATTATTAGCATCAAAGTATGATCTTGAGTATAAAGCACCAAAACTTAGAGATCAACACAAGAATAGATTTGATACATTGAACACTGATGACATAAGACCAGATGAATTGTGGGATGATATAAAAGACAACATACATGAAACCAGGTCATTAAAAAGACAGGAATAAAGGAAAAACCAAAATGGATGTCAGAAGAGACTCTGAAATTTGCTTTTTAATGTAGAGGACCTAAAACAAATGGGGGAAAAAAAAAACATGAAGTAAAAGAGTTCAACAAAAGGGCAGTGCCAGAAAACAAAGTCGTGTATTCTAATAAAATGCGCAAAGATATGGCATTAGGAGAGCAAAGGAAAAAGCACACTTAGCATTTCTCAAGCTGAAAGAACTGAAGAAAAATTCAAGCCTTAATTTGAAATATTGAGGGATACTATGGGAGTCCTGGTGTGGTGCTACAGGATAATGCACTGGACTGCAAAATTGGTTTGAACTGCAAGGTCACCAGTTCAAACCCACCAGTCACTCCTCAGAAACCCTATACAGGGTTGCGATGAGTTAGAACCAACTCCACGGCACTTAAGAACAACCACAGGCAAAATAAGGAGCCCTGGTAGTGTAGTGAATTGTTAGCTGGGCTGCTAATTACAAGTTCAGAAGTTTGAATCTACCAATTGCTTCACCAGAGAAAGATGAGCCTTTCTGTTCCTGCAAAGATTTATAGCCTCAGAAATCCAATACTGGGTCACTATGAGTCAGATCAACTCAATGACACATAACTACCACCAACCATGGGCAAAATATTGAATAATGCAGAAAGTAACAAAAGCAAATGGAAGGAATACACAAAGCCACGGTACCAAAAAAAAAAAAAAGGTTGATGTTCAACCATTTCCTATGATCAACAACTGATGGTACTGAAGGAAGACGTCAAAGCTGCACTGAAGACACTGGAATTGCAGAATACAAATGGAAATCTTTCAATAAAACGATGAAGCACTCGAGGTGCTCATCCATCTATTCCAAGAAATTTGAAAGACAGCTGCCTGGCCAATCGATTGGAAGAGATTCATGTTTGTGCCTATTCCAAAGAAAGATGATCCAACAGAACGTGGAACTCATTCAACAATATCATTAGTGTCATATGCAAGTAAAATTTTGCTGAAGATAGTTCAAAATTAGTTGCAGCAGTGAATGGACAGGGAGTTGGCAGACATTCAAACCAGATTCAGAAAAGAATATGTTATTGTTATTATGTGCCATGGAGTCAGTTCTGACTCACAGTGACCCTATACACAACAAAATGAAACACTGCTCAGTCCTGTGCTATCCTCACAATTGGTACATTTGAGCTCATTGCTGCTGTCAATCCATATAGTTGGGATCTTCATCTTTTTCCCTGGCCCTCCACTTCACTAAGCATGATGTCCTTCTTCAGGGAATGGTCCTTCCTGATAGCATGTCCAAAGTATAACAGACAAAGTCTCACATCCTGACTTCTAAGCAGTATTCTGGCTGTACTTCTTCCAACACAGATTTGTTTATTCTTCTAGAAGTCCATGGTACTTTTAATATTCTTCTCCAACACCATAATTTACATACATAAATTCTTCTGTCTTCCTTATTCATTGGCCAACTTTCACATGCTTGAGGAATTGAAAATGCCAAGGCTTGGGGTCAGGTGCACCTTACTCTTCAAACTGACAGCTTTGCTCTTTAACACTTTTATTATTTTTTTTTAAGTTTTTATTGTGAATTATGTGTTAGTTTACATGGGTAAACATTACATTCATCCTATCGCATTTTGTTTCATTGCAATGATCACAATCCCCTGCATGCATCATCAAACAACCAAAAGGTACACCCCCGCATGCCTGCCCCCCAGCAGCCAGCACACAGCCCCTCTCCCTCCGAGTCCAAAATCCCCAGCTGCTCCTTCTGTCCACATCATCGTCTCTGCCTCCATCCCTAGTGTCACTGTCTCCCCAGTGAAGCCCTGGTGGCACACAGGGTTAAGCATTGGGCTGGTAACCAAAAGGAAACATGAGGCTGTGTATTCCTTTAAAGGTTTATAGTCTCAGAAACCCTATTGGCTAATTCTCTTCTGTCTTGTAGGGATGACCTTGACAACACTGGGAGTAGTTTATTTTGGGTAACTGTCCCCACAGCAAACAGTCCCAAATACCAAGATGAAAGCCTCAATGCTTTGTAAGACTTAGACTTGGGAATTAAACATGATCTTTCCATTATATTTTCTTGGTTGCCTGGCAGAATCCAGGAAGCCTTTCCAAAGGAACGGACATTGGGTAGATCCTGAGCTGTTTTAATTCAATTTGGGGTTGACTATGGGATGTAATGTAGATTAGATTATTTTCATATGATTTTAGTAAAAATCAGACTTTTAGTTCTGCTTGTTGATGTCTCATACTGATAGTTTAGCAATATATAGTTAAGTTTTATCTATTTTTGTTGTTAGTGCCATTGAGTCAGTTCCAACCCATAGTGACCCTGTTTCCAATGAGCAGCAGGTGAGCTTGAACCACCAACTTGTGGCTCAAACCGACTTTGCAGTTCAGTGCATTAACCCACAATGTTACAGAAGTCAAAATTTCTGTGAAAAGCATAGAATTCATGGTCAATAAATTGTTGGTCAATGAAAAATTAGTCAGCATTAAAATATTTATTATCAAAATGACTTTAGTGGATCAATGTTTTTATTCTTGAATAATATGGAAAGCTCTGCTTTCCAGCAGAGGGCCATATATACATATGTATATACCAACACTTCCTTTGAAAATAGAAGTTTTCTGAGTTGTTTTTATTTTACAGGCTCTCCTATTTCTTATGTCATACAATAGTTGAGCAATTAGGAGGGCAATAAAATCCATCAGATAAAGTCCAAGCATAATAAAGAAAATCTAATCTGTCAAGGCTGGTAATTTACTGAATAACCTTTTCTTTTCTGTCTGTTCAAAATAGGATTATGTAAACTTGGGCCCCTTGGAAACGAAGCTCATGACTGTGGAGAGCAAGAAAATGCCCATTCATTTTCAAGAGAAGGAAACTCCAGACACATTCTATGAAGATGTCAGCAGTCCACAAAGACTCATCACATATAGGATGGTGAAGTCTTTTCTCTAAGACTGAAAGCTGCAAAGTAAAACCGACCTTTCCTTGTCAAGGATCTTTGCAAACTGAAATATATCATTTGCCCATTTGATTTACACTTTGGTCTATTTTTAAACCAATTGTGAGAATACCCTTAGGCATATTTATTTCTAAAGGCTATGCTTAACATTTAAAATCAAAGTTCCAAGTGTTCAGCTTTTCATGTAATGGCATTGCATAAATGCAAAGAATGAAAGTACACTTTTAGGAGTAAAACTTCATGATCCAGCTGGCAGTGACTGGACACAGCTGTGTTTTGCCCTTTGTAGGTAAATTCCCATGTCGGTAAACCATCTCTTTTATAAACTAATGTCTCTCAGAAAGAAAAAACAAAACAACAACTTTATATAGAAGCATTCATAAGCCTGACAGTGGGTTCAAAGTGATTTCTGGGGTCACTTCTCACTTAAAAATTCATTGACTGTTCTGTTATACCAATACTAAATCATTCAACTAGAAATGTTCATGAGAAAAATGTAGACGTTTCCATAGCATTGTTCCCTCTGAGACTGCTGAGACAACCAGTTCACAAAGCAGGCCTGCATTTAACAGCAAGGTTGGTGGTTTGAATCTACCCATAGTGCTGTGCAAGAAAGGCCTGGAAATCTAGTTTTGTAAGATTGTTGTTATTGGTAAGTGCCATTGAGTTGGTTTCCAACTCATAACGACCCTGTATAAGGCTTACAATGAGCAACAGGTGGGTTTGAACCACCAACTTGGTGATTCACTGAAAACCCTATGGGGCCCAGCTGTACCGTGACACACACTGGCTCACTACGTGGCAGAATGGGCACAACTGCAACAAGTTTGTTTTACAAGTACGGAGAGGGGGTTTTGGTGGGGGGGGGGAGTATTATTATCAATTTTTGTTGTTAAGTGTCATTGAGTGGGTTCCGACTCATAGTGACCCTGTATAGGGTTTCCTAGGAGTAGCTGGTAAAACTTTTTATTGTGAATTGAGTGAATTCAATGCATCATACACTTTGTTTCATTTCAATGATTACAATTCCCTCCATGCATCAACAGTTATCCTGCTTCCTCCCTGTTTCCATTCCACCATCTTCCCATCCCTTCTCAACTTTGTCCTTAGGTAAATGTTGCCCTTTTGATTTTGAAGGATTGACCATTCCATGGTGAGCAGACCTTACTAGTGTTGTTGTTCCCCCCTGTATAACCTATCTACTGCTTCGCTGAAAATTGGGCCACAAGGGTGAACTCCTCTTCAGACCTGAGGAGTGCTTGAGTGTCACAGTCTAGGGTTCTTCTTTCTGACCACTAAGCCTGGTCTTTTTATAAAAGTTTTTAGTTTTGCTCCACATTTTCTCCCACTCTATCTGGGATCTTCTACTGTGATCCCTTTCAGAGTCCTTGGTAGTGGTAGCCAGACACCATTCTGGTCTCAGAGTTGTAGAGAGTGATGTTCACATATTCCATTAGTCTATTGGACTAACTGACTCTAAGCATCTTCAATTCTCATCACGCTTCTTTCTTCTGCACATGGAGAAATCATTCATGAACTTTTAAGATTTCAGATGCTACTCACCAAAACAGGATGTAAAATAATATCTTTATGGTCTATATTATGCACATTGACAATGGTGTCTCCTGAGGCTATGATTCTAAGCCTGCAGGCCCAGTAACTCATTGACTTAAGATGTTCTATAATATCTAAGAAGTTTTCATAATTTTGGTAGTTGTATGCTCCACCATGTTCATAGTAGTGTTTTCAGGAAGATAAACAGTGATGGTGGTTATGTTTTGTCAATTCTGACTCATAGCAATCTTGTATAGTTATGGGATCAGAAAATCTCATCTTTCTCCTGTGAAGCAGCTGGAAGATTTGAACTGCTGGCCTTGTAGTTACCAGCCCACCTTGTAAGCTACTACACTACCAGAGCCCCTTTAGAAAGGTAAATGATATTGTTGTTAAGTGCCGTCGAATAGGTTCCTACCCATAGCGACTCTGTATAGGGTTTCTGAGGAGCTGGTGGTGGGTGTGAACAGCTGACCTTGTCATTCAAATTGACCTTAAAGTCCACTGCATTATCCTGTAGTGTTACACCAGGACATACAAATATACTCTTAAACTCTTATATGTTTGTGGGTATTATATTCCCACTCTTCCTCCCATACCCATTCAACCTGTATATTTGCCCATGTTATCTACCTGCAGAACACTGTTGTTCCAAAGTTGTGTATATATATCACTATTTACCTCTATCGCCTTTAGTCCTTGCATACCTCCCTGTGTCTTTGCCTGTCTTCATTATTCTTCTCCCAACCTCCCTCTTCTTGTATATTGTCCTCCCTGTTACCTGAGTTAACATGTGTGTACTGTCGAGCCAGTGAATTATTCTCCCTTCTCTCCTACTCCTGTTAGCCACCAAGGAATGTTTCATTTAGTATGAAGACCTTTTATTGAGTTTTTACAATAGTGGTCTCATACAAGACTTGTTCTTTTGTGATTAATTTCACTCAGCATTATTCCTACACATTCATTCATGTTATGAGGTATTTCACAGAAACATCCATATTCTTCAACGTTGTATAGTGTTCCATTGTATACATACAAAAGCTTGTTTGCTGTCTCCATCTTATTGTGAATAATGCTGTGATGAACCTGAGTGTGTATATATCTACTTGTGTTCTGGCTCTTATTTCTTGTGGATATATATCAAGTAAGGGGATTGCTGGGTCATATGGTGTTTCTATTTCCAACTTTCTGAGGAAGTGCCATACTGTTTTCTACAGTGGTTGATCTTTTTACAGTCCCTCCAGCAATGTAGAAAGGTCCCAGCCTCTCCACACCCTAGCCAGCATTTGTTGTTTTCTGTTTTTCAGAACTTGGTTCTTAATGCTAATGTGAGATGATATTTCACTGTTGTTTTGATTTACATCTCCCTAATGAGTATTCCGGAACACTTAATTTTGCTCATGAGGAATCTGTACATGGACCAAGAGGCAGTTGTTCAAACAGAATGTGGGAACACTGGATGGTTTAAATTAAGAAAGGTGTACGACAGGGTTGCATTCTTTTCACCATACTTATTTCAACCTGTATGCTGAGCAAATAATCCAAAAATCTGTGTTATATGAAGAAAAACATGGCATTAGGATTGGAGGAAGACTCATTAAAAACCTGTAATATGCAGATGATACAACCTTGCTTGCTGAAAGTGAAGAGGACTTAAAATATTTCCTGATGAAGATCAACGAGCACAGCCTTCAGTATAGATTACATCTCAATGTAAAGAAAACAAAAATCCTCACTACTGGACCAATAAACAACATTCTTATCAACGGAGAAAAGATTGAAGTTGTCAAGGACTTCATTTTTCTTGGATCAAACATCAACACTCATGGTGGCAGCAGTCAAGAAATCAAAGGATGTATTGCATTAGGCAAATCTGCTGAAGACCTTTTTTTTTTTTTCAGAAGACCTTTTTAAAGTGTTGAAAAGCAAAGATGTCAGCTTGAGAACTAAGATGCGCCTGACCCAAGCCATGGTATTTCCAATAACCTCACATGCATGCCAAAGCTGGATAGTGAATACGGAAGACTGTAGAAGAATTGATGCTTTTGAGTTATGGTGTTGGGGGGGAATATTGAAAGTGCCATGGACTGCCAAAAGAATCAACAGATCTGTGTTGGTAGCAGTACAGCCAGAGTGCTCCTTGGAGGCCAAGATGGCCGTACTTCGTCTCTCATACTTTGAACATATTGTCAGGAGGGAGCAGTTGCTGGAGAAGGATATCATGTTTGGTAAGGTGGAGGGTGAGAGAAAAAGAGAAAGCCCCCCAGCGAGATGGACTGGTCAAGTGGCAGCATCAATGGGCTCAAGCGTGGCAATAACAGCGAAGTTGGCCCAGGATCAGGCAGTGTTTCAGTTTGCTGTGCATAAGGTCGCTATGAGTCAGCACCTAACAACAACAACAATGGTGTCCTGGTGTGGTGGTGCTGGGGGGTTAATACACCAGACTGCAAAGCTGTTTTAAACTGCAAAGTCGATGGTTCAAGCTTACTAGCCACTCCTTGGAAACCCTACACATGGTCACCTTGGGTAGGAACTGACTCAATGGCAGTTCCACAACAACAATGGAGTCCTGGAGTCTTGGTGTATCACGGTGAGTTAATGCACTAGACTACAAAGTTGATTTGAACAGCGAGGTTTGTGGTTCAAGCTCACCAGCTGCCCTTCAGAAATAATATGTAGAGTTGCTATAGGTTGGAACCAACTTGAGGGCACTTAACAACAACAATAACAACAACAATGGAGTCCTGGTGTGGCAATGTGGGATAAAGCACTAGACCACAAGGTCAGTGGTTTAAACTTACCAGCTACTCCTTGGAAACCCTATATAGGGTCGTTATGAGTCAGAACTAACTCGATGGCACTTAACAACAACAACAATGGCTAATGAGGAGTCTTGGTGTGGTGCTGCAGGATATAGCAATGGACTGTAAGGTGGATTTGAACCACAAGGTCGATTTGAACCATAAGGTTGACGGTTCACTCAAGAGCCGCTCGTTGGAAACTCCACACAGAGTCCCTATCTATAGGAATTGATGTGATGGCACTTAATAACAATGGCTAATGATCATGAACATTTCTTCATATATTGTTAGCTACTTGAATGTCTTCCTTGGTTAAGTGTGTGTGTGGTAGTGATGGGGGGGGGGAGTTATATTTTAAACCTAACTCTATCTATGTAAATTTAGAAGCAAATAAATTTGAAGATGTTAATTTGTTATACAAAATAATATTCTACTGATAGAGTTCAACATTCCTATCTTTACTTTCAAATAATCAAAAATCCACCTGTATCTTTAGTTTTCTCAGATAAGAAAAAAAACGTATTGCCTTGTCCCTGGGACACATCAAAGCATTTTCAGTGACCAACAAAAACAGTCTATGTGACAGCTCACTGATTTGAGTTTGTCAGGAGAAATTGACATTGCTTTTGGTTTCACAT